TCAACATTATGTATTTTAATTCCTTATGTATTTTTAACATAATTAATCAAATAATAATTGGAAGTTCTGACTCACTTTTTCCGTAATTCAAAATCAAAAATATGAATAATATATCTATTTTTATATACTAATGCTATTTTCAACTAGAAGTGAGGTACGGTAATCTTACGGATTCCCGTAACTCAATTTTCGGAAAAAGTGCGTAAACTACTCAATTTACGGAAAAAGTGTCGTAAACTATTGATGTGGCGGTAAAATCACGGTAATTCACGGAAAGCTATATGCGAAAATTTGAAATTATACAAAATCGAGCGAAACACTTTTAAATAGGTTGTTCTCGTATTTAAAATACTATTCCCAGATTTATTGTCGTCAGAATATTTCCAAATTTTTGCCGATTTACAAAAAATGATTTACAAAGCATATTTTTTAATCTAAAAAATTCCTAAAAAAAGGAACCGGTGTGCGGAAACCTCGGTAAATTACCGCGGTTCCCGTTGGGACTGCCATAAAAAACCTGCATTAATATATATCTGTTTGTCTGAAATATCAATTTTTGGTATTTTATATTTCACACACCTTAGTATGAATAGATTCGAATTCATTTAAATCATATATGTTCATATTTATGGATTCCTAGTCATCTTAAGTCTTGTAATCTTATTAATAAAATTCACTCATGAATTTGATTTTAATTATCTCAAGTTTCGAGCCAGAATCAAAATATAGTTCATAGGCAGAAAATGGAGTACTATAGTTTGTGGGAAATATCAAAAGTTATATAAAAGATTTGATGAATTTAAAAATATTCTAAGTAAGAAGAAATTACTCGGTAATATTGATAGGACTGCTGACGTTATAATGTGTGATTTGATTACGAAATGAGAAACTAAGAGTAATAAAAAAATTGAATATGAGAACGTGGATTTCAATTTTATAATTTTGTCACTTTTATGATTGATGTTAAAAATAGGAATATGTAAGGGTTTCGTTTTGCTAAAATTGTCACTTTTATAGCATATTTGTTTTTGGATGTTTTGCGAAACCAAAAAAAAACTATGATATACAATGTGTGTGTAAAGAAAATACTTTATTTACTAGTTAAAAAATCATTTGGTATTGATCAAGTTTTTTTTTCTGGATAAGATATTATATGGATAATTGGATAGAAAATACAATTATATAATCTTGTACCTGGTTTAATTAAGCTAATTGTCATCAGAAACTTGTAATTTTTATGAATTTCAGATTTTCTTTTCATTACTGCTTTTCTTAATAGGTCAAGTTCTTATTTACGTTATAAAGTATGATATTTACAAATATCAAGTTATCGTGTTTTTTGAGAAATTATGAGAAACAAACAAAAATGAAAAAGATAGGAATAGCAATGAATAGTGATGTGGGTATAGAAAATGTAAGAGATATGAATGCAAAGCAATCAGTATTTAGGACATTGACCATAGATTTCGAAAAAAAAAATGCTGCATATTGAGCGAAAACTATGATTATATTATAAGGCTGTCATTTAAAGCATAATGAAACTATTCCCTTTTCATTTTAATCGAATAAGATAGTAAAGATTTTTGAATTAGCTAGAAACTGATGAGATGTTTTCACAAATCAGATTTTTAATCTCTATAATGCATAATTTGTAATAAACAGAAATTCATCAAAAGTGACAGCTCTCAATTTTTTGACATTTGTAAATTCTAAATTGAATGAGAAAAATGAAATAATACTAAGCATAATACAATATTCTAGATTTAATTATAATTAGGAAAAAGTTAGTTTTGAGAGTACTTTTCATAGGCATATAGAATGAAATCTTCTGAAAAATAATATCACATAAACTCATATTATTTTCTAATATATAACTATTTTATATAAAAATCAAATTTAATGATCTTAAAAGCGAAGGATAAACCTCAAAATTTACGAATATAATGAGTGGGAATATAATGCTTATCTATCATAAAATCATATGAAATATCAATTTTTGCTTTACGCCTAATTTTTGACGACAATTAGCAAAAAATGTTAAATGTTAACACTCAGTCCATTTGAATATGAAAAATAAAATTGACTTTGATTAAATGTTTTTATTTATCATGCAATTCTTCTTGCGACCAAAGATTTGAATAAAATTTCAAAAAATAAGATAGCTGAAAAAATAATATACGGTAGTGTTTACTAATAGATGAATAGTATATAAATTCTATTAAAATGGATTTGATCCAAAAAAATATATAAAATTTGATCATAAATAAAATCGTTTTAAATTACTTCTTCATTTAAATTATAACAATTATTTTTGGTTTTATATTTTTTTGGATCAAATCCATTTTAATAGAATTTATATACTATTCATCTATTAGTAAACACTACCGTATATTATTTTTTCAGCTATCTTATTTTTTGAAATTTTATTCAAATCTTTGGTCGCAAGAAGAATTGCATGATAAATAAAAACATTTAATCAAAGTCAATTTTATTTTTCATATTCAAATGGACTGAGTGTTAACATTTAACATTTTTTGCTAATTGTCGTCAAAAATTAGGCGTAAAGCAAAAATTGATATTTCATATGGTTTTATGATAGATAAGCATTATATTCCCACTCATTATATTCGTAAATTTTGAGGTTTATCCTTCGCTTTTAAGATCATTGAATTTGATTTTTATATAAAATAGTTATATATTAGAAAATAATATGAGTTTATGTGATATTATTTTTCAGAAGATTTTGTGTTCTTCTTCAAAATTTTATTTTTTTATTAAAAAGAATTAAGGATGTCAATTTGGAAGAAAAGTGAGAAAATTCCTAAAATGCTAAAAATGAATTTTCCAAACGTACTTTTTTATCTCATTTTTTTGATTTTGAAAAAAATTTGGAGAGAAGAACTCTTCGTTTTTGAATTTTGTCACGATGGTTTTAAAGTATATTAGACACATGTATTGATATTACTATTTTTGTATATTTTGAGAGAAAATCCCTAAAAAGTGAGAAAATCTGAAACGGTTTGAGAAAATATATAAACTATTGAAAATTTGAATTAAACTTCTAATTTGGAAAAAAGAAATTTGGAAAGAAGAAAATTCAAAAATCGAGATTTAGACTCAGTATCAAATGGAGAACAAAATGTTTCTTCATATGAAGGAAAAAATTTTCTTGAGAAGAAATAGAGTTTTTAAAATTTTATTGTATGTAATGAAATAAACAAATATTAAAATTCTTTTTTGATAACAAGAAAATTCCCAACAGAAAATATTTGAGACAAAGAAAAAAAGAAAATTGAAAAATATTACTCTCCTTTACATTTCATGAGATTTTCAATTTATTTTCATAAAATTGACAATTTTATACGTTTAGATGAAAATAAGTGATTTTGCTTGAAATAAAAATTATTGTTTGTTTACAGCTATCAAATAGATTTTTGCTATTTTGATTAAAATTTGTTAATCAAATTAATAAATTTTTTCTAAATATCTTAAATATCTGGATCACTCACATATACAATGAATTGAACGATAAAAATAATACAAACTCAACTAAGTTTCCTGTCTTTCAACCAAAAAATATTATGCAATTTAAATTAAATTGTTTATTCAAAGATTAAACAAAGATGAAATAATTACAGTTATCATAAACTTTATGAATAACTCTGTAATTGGTTCAGATTTTCGTAAAAATATTTTTATTAATATCGATAAGAATATGTTTACCTACTATCATCACATATCTATAAACAAGAGTAGAGTGATTTTTATCATCGAAACTTTTTAAAAGCTGCAAGCTGGAAGGAAAAATCTTGTTTTTTTTTCTGAGTTAGTTGTAGAACTATTGATGCCCGAGTTATCATTGTGATGCAGAAGGATATCAATGTACTGACTGAAGGATATGAATTGAATTGAATTTTATTGAATTTCAATTTGATCAAAATTTGTTGAAATGATATGAATGTGTCAACTTCTGTATCATTCTCCTTCACTCCTTCCTTATTCTTTCGAGAACGAAGCTAGCTCAGCTTTCGCTGAGCGAATTGACACTTTTCATGCCCTAAACGTACATACTCTCAAATTTATCGAAAAAATTAATACCACCTAAGCTAGTATATTCTTATTTTAAATATGATATTATCCTTATATTCCACACTAAAATTCATCTAAATCAACTTTTAAAAAAGTTCGAATCCTGCGCGTCTCACTTTTTAAATTTTCCAAATGGAAAATTATATTCTCCTAAAGTGAAAACAATTTTCCAAATTGACTTCCTTAAAAGAATCTTTACAAAATATACATTTACTTTAATTAATATTTAAAAACGTGCTCTATCAAAAGTTCCAAAAATTCAATATTTTAGCTTTTCTGAAGTGTCACTTTTGATGAATTTCTGTTTACAACACTATAAGCATTATTATCAACGTAGAATCTGAATATCATATCAGAAAATGTCGCAAATCTGACATTTACCCGACCAAATAGCAAAAATAATTGAATACTTTTCGCAAAAACTTTAAAAATCGATAAAAATATGAAATATAGATATTAAAGAGACTTTTTATATAATATTCATAAAGATTTTCCAAAAATATGATACCGCAAAATTAAAAAAGTGACGTCTTGAGTGGAGTCAAAGGTCGAAATTGCTAGCTCAATGTTTTTTTAGCGAAATTGCGTATTGTACGTTTTTTTCGCAAAACGAAACCCTTAGAATATGCGAGAATTATTAATGGGTAAAATTTTATTATGATAAAATTTCAAGTGCACATCATATCTTTTGAATGTGGTTTATGAACCTTTTTGTGAAATGATTGTATTTATATAGTATATAATGATTTATTCCTGACGTCAACGATAGCTCACACAAAAAGTGTAAAAGCAAATAAAAATCCCCTCAAAAAATTGAGACGAAATAAACCAAAAGTGACGATCCACTTCATATTGCCCGAAATAATTGAGAGGTTTTGGCAAAAAAGAATGTCACATCACATTCTCTTCTAATGGCTGAAGAAGACGTTCAGACACTCGTTATCGATAACGGCTCTGGTATGTGCAAGGCTGGCTTCTCTGGTGATGAAGCCCCACGCTCTGTTTTCCCATCCGTTGTCGGCCGTCCAAAGTACAAACAACAATTAGTTGGTGGCAATGCTAAGGACGTTTTCGTTGGTGATGAAGCCTGCTCCAAGGCTGGTGTCCTCATCCTCAAGTACCCAATTGAACACGGTATCGTCAACAACTGGGATGATATGGAAAAGATCTGGCACCACACATTCTACAACGAACTTCGTGTTGACCCAACAGAGCACCCAGTTCTTCTTACAGAAGCCCCACTCAACCCAAAGGCTAACCGTGAGAAAATGATCTCCCTCATGTTCGACACATTCAACGTCCCATCCTTCTATGTCGGCATCCAGGCTGTTCTTTCCCTCTACTCTTCTGGCCGTACAACAGGTATCGTTTTCGATGCTGGTGATGGTGTTTCCCACACAGTTCCAATTTACGAAGGCTACTCCCTTCCACACGCCATCATGAGACTTAACCTCGCTGGCCGTGATCTCACAGCCTGGATGGTCAAGCTTCTCACAGAGCGTGGCAATGCTTTCAACACAACAGCCGAAAAGGAAATCGTTCGTGACATCAAGGAGAAGCTTTGCTATGTTGCCCTCGACTTCGATGCTGAAATGGAGAAGGCCGCTACAGACTCCTCCATCAACGTCAACTACACACTTCCAGATGGCAACGTCATCACAATCGGCAATGAGCGCTTCCGCTGCCCAGAAATGCTCTTCAAGCCATACTTCGATGGTATGGAATACGATGGTATCGACAAGACACTCTTCGACTCCATCATGAAGTGCGATATCGATGTTCGTAAGGATCTCTACGCTAACATCGTTCTTTCTGGTGGCTCAACAATGTTCAAGGGCATCGCCGAACGTCTTGACAAGGAAATCACAGCTCTTGCTCCACCAACAATGAAGGTCAAGATCGTCGCCCCAGAAGAGCGTAAGTACGCCGTTTGGGTCGGTGGCTCCATCCTTGCTTCCCTCGCTACATTCCCACAGATGGTTATCACCAAGGAGGAATACGACGAGGCTGGCCCATCCATCGTTCACCGCAAGTGCTTCTAAAAAGTTTTTTTTTCGTTGTCTCCAATTATTCAAATCTTTTTTTTATTACTGTTCGAATTCATTTAGAAGAATTGACTTTTTTTAAAGCACTATCTGGCCATTTGATATATAAAAAGCTTATTTATCATCCCCCAATTAGAGTTACCATGTAAGGAAGGCCTAAATTCATTCTTTAACTTCAGAAATATTCTTATCTTCTTTTATTTTATGCGGATTCATCATTAGATCCTTCAATTCATCCAAGTTATTCAAAAAAATCTGATTAATCCTTTGCTTAAGTTATAGATATTTGAAATAAAAGATCGAATTTTTGCTTTTTCATTCCTTTCTGTTGGGAATTTCCATATTTCAAGATAAAGAAGATTTTTAAGAGTTAAATGTTTATGAATTTTCTCCAAAAAAAATTCATTTTGAAAAATTTAAATTAGAAAATTGTTAAAATTAAATTCATTTTTTGATTTTTGAAAAAAATTTGGAATATTTTGCAAAAATAAAATATGTATTTAGTTTTAAAATTGTCAATGTAATATATCATCACTTTAGATATTAATAAATTATCCATATTTATAATTTTTATTTAATGAAAATAAGATATTTTGAATATATTCTTATAGAAATAATAACAGCTCATATCAAAACTATCTAACCCTTTATTGTGGAAACTCAATAATGAATATTCTACTGAAATTTCATTTTTCTTTGACATCGTTTGGAAGAATTTGGTAATCCTTTCACAGAAACAATACACAATTGTCTTTTGTGTATCAATGGTGTGTGTAGTGAAGCAATCAGAGTCGATAGTTCCAACAATCCAAAATGACATTATTGTTAATCATGAATTCACACCACAATTATCATTTACATTTATTGCTTATTATAAATACATCTTCCGTACATGATAATATTACTGGCATAATTACTATCGATGTAACCATTGAATTTGTCATTTTTCAATTTGAATGACTGATTTCGTTCAGATCGTCAAGCACTTTGATATAAAGGGAGGTATCAAAGAAGTTGTACCATTTGGTGCAGGCCTTATTAATACAACATATAGAGTTGTTAACACAGATTCAAATTGTCCAGATTATATCCTTCAGAAGATCAATAATGCCATCTTCAAAGATGTTGATTTGTTGCAAAAGAACATTGAATTAGTCACTAATCACATCAGATCTAAGTTGGTTGCATCTGGCGAGACTGATATCGACAGAAAGATCTTACAATTCGTTAAATGTGATACAGGAAAGACATATTACAATGGCCCAGAAGGATATTGGCGTGTCTCTGTTCTCATCCCAAGATCAAAGACACTTGAAGTTGTTAACGCTCAGTATTCTGAAGTCGCTGGCGTTGCATTCGGAAAGTTCCAGGCTATGTTATCCGATCTCGGCTGTGAACTTGAAGAGTCAATTCCATTATTCCATAATATGGAATTCAGACTTCAACAATTGCGTGATGCCGTTAAGGAAAACAAGGCCGGCAGATTAGATGAAGTCAAGTATTATGTTGACGAGCTCGAAAAGAGGGCTGATGAGATGTGCAAAGCCGAAAAATTACATAGAGAAGGAAAGCTTCCAAAGCGTGTTTGCCATTGCGACACAAAGGTGAACAACATCCTTTTCGATGAGGATGGCTCAGTTCTTTGCGTTATCGACCTTGATACAGTTATGTCAAGCTATATCTTCTCTGACGTTGGAGACTTCTTAAGATATGCTGCCAACACAGGTGCAGAAGATGATAAGAACCTTGACAATGTTAACTTCAACATGGAAATCTTCAAAGCCTTCATTAAAGGATATTTGAGCTCCGCCAAATCATTCCTTCTTCCAATCGAAATCGAAAATCTCCCATACGCTGCTGCTTTATTCCCTTATATGCAGACAGTCAGATTCTTGGCTGACTACATTAATGGGGATACTTACTACAAGATTAAGTATCCAGATCACAACTTAGTCCGCACAAAGGCACAGTTCAAACTCTTACAAAGTGTTGAAGCTCACATGCAAGAAATGAAGGACTTCATCGCTTCATTATAAGTTAATTTTGATTAATTTATACCTCAATGAAATAAAAACTCTCAATATATCTCTCGATTTTTACTTTGGTTTAAGGATATCACTTGGAGGACATTTGGGGACTCGGCCAATTAATTCATTAGTGAAAATGCAATTACTTATTAATAAGGATTAAAATAAGACAGACAAAAATTTCCTTGCGAATAATAAGGTAGTCACAAAATCTAAGTAGTGAGGCTCTCAAAAATTGAACCGTACTCCATACAAAATTTGTGTACCCTCACTACTTAGATTTTGTGGCCTTCAATTGAGAGGTTAGTTTTGATAGAGCAAGTTATAAAATTAAAAGGGAAAAATAAATAAAATTTAAAAATTTAATTATATATAATGTAAGGAGGGTAATTCCAAATTTTCTAAAAACTATTCAAATTTGAGCATTTTTTGGAAATAGTAAATCTAATATGTACATCTAATAACAACATGATTCATCACCTTTTCAAGCTCTGCAGTCAATTTTTTGAAATTTGATTGAAATAAATGTAGCAAAAATTACATTTCATTAGGGAATATATGAGTTTCTCTGGAAACAGGCTGATAAATTTTAAATTTTGGCCAATCAACATGAATGCATTGAGAAATTTGGATTGATTTTCTGGTAGAATCTGGAACAATTCAACCATGTATAAATGGATCATGTAATCATCATGAAATGTTAGTGTTAGAGTTCAAAAGAAACAGAATGAGTGGAAATCAAACACAATCTGAATAATTTTAAACGTATACAATCTTTAAGTTTGTATTTTGAATTCTACATATATGATTGTGTAATTCGTTCTTTCAAATTTTTGGATTCAGGCATGTTTTGATAAAATTCATTCCCAAAAACGTCAATTAACAATTAAATTTAGTGTATTTTAAATATATATACGTATTATATTTTATAAATTATATTAAATTCGCAAAATTTTAAGTTTTAAACAAAAATAAAAAATGTTCAAAATATGAAATTATGCATAGGATATTAAATTTTACATGTTAGCAATTTTTTTGAATTGCTTTCAATTTTCATATTGAAATTTTTAAGATTTTTTTCTGAAATAATAAGCAAGAATATCAACCTAAATAATATTAAATTCCATGCGTTAATTTCCCCTCAAAAGTCATTGACCGCCTCTCAATCTAGATTTTGTGAGTACTTTAGCTTAGAGAAAATTCCATTAATTATTGGATCTCATAATTTCATTGATAAAATTCTATGAGCTTTCACAAAATTAAAAAATTTTAATGGCAGAATTTAATTAAAAATGAATCATCTGGATTATAATGAGCTCTTATTAGCAAGTAAAGATTACCATGAAATATTCAAAAAATTGTATATGCTTAAATCATGTAATGAAACTGAAATCTTCAAACTGTACGACGATATCAAAAATAAAATAATAGAAACTAAGATACTTTTACCATCACAGGTTCTTACGATCATTACAAATGCTTCATTATACAATAATCGCTACACACGGTCATATTGGACTCTTTGCAAAAGGTTGATTGAGGAATATCATCCAAATCAGATCCAATTCAATTCACATATATTCTATTATTTTTATTACAAAGAATATGGTGTTGTTTTTGATAAACCAATACAAAGATCGATTTATAAATACGAACATTTTGAAAATTCATTGGATGTTCACGAAAAAAACACAATTTATGAAGCAATTATGAATGACAATAAAGAGTTATTTATATCGCTCACAGAAATATCAAACTTTAAGCACAATCAAATTCTCAAAAGTGATTTTTATCCAAATAATTCTAACCAAGGATATTCATTACTTGAATTGTGCTGCTATTATGGATCTGTTAATTGTTTTAAGTTTTTAAGAACAAAATTTAACTCTAAGATCACTCCTACATGCCTTCAATTTTCATTTTTAGGCGGGAATCCAGACATCATGAGTGAATGTTTGAAATCTCAAAAACCAGATAAAGAATGCATGAAATATGCAATTATTTCACACAACATTGATTTTGCAACATATTTGATGAACGAGCATCGAATTCCAATCGATATAAAACTATGCAATGAATTTAATAACATTGAAGCATCTTTTGTTTATTTAGATAAAACAAAAGATATCTCTGATTGGCTTAATTTTTCATCAAACTTCCACATTCCATCACTTTGGAAATATCTAATTTCAAAAGGTATTGACATCAATACAAAGTGCAGTTATCATGGTAATTTCCTTCATTTAGCAGTTATAGAAAACAAAAAAGAAAAGGTTGAATTTCTTTTATTGCTTGGTGCAGATATTGATGCAGGTAATATAAATGGAAAGACTCCCCTTATTTTGGCTATGAAAAATAGGTATTTCGATATTGCCAAATATCTTGTTGAGCATGGCGCAAATGTTAATGCAGTTGACAATAATGGAGATGATGCAATTAATCTAGCAATAGATTACAATCACATTGATCTATTAAAGCTGTTTATATCACATGGAAATATAAATGGATCACCAAAAAAAATTCCTCTTCACAATGCAATCTCAAGATGCAACGAAGAATTAACAGAATTTTTAATATCAATGGGTGCAAATGTTAATGAAAAAGATATATATGGAAAAACAGCTCTTCATCTGGCCGCATTACAATCTAATATTGAGTTAGCAGAATTTTTAATATCAAATGGCGCAAATATCCATTTGAGAGATAGTGATAGTCGAAACACTCTATATTATGCATTAAGTTCTGATAATTGTACAATTGAACTAATTGAATTTTTAATCTCAAAAGGTGCAAATGTTAATTCAAAAGATTTTCTTGGAAAGGATGCTCTTCATTATGCAATGGAAAAAACACTAATATTGATATAACAGAATATTTAATTTCTCATGGAGGGGATGTCAATTCAAGAGATTTTGAAGATAAAACACCTCTCCATTATGCTGCCTTTTATGAAACTATCGAGAAAGCAAAAACTCTTATTCTCCATGGTGCGGATGTTAATATGAAAGATATATATGGAAAAACAGCTCTTCATATAGGATCTAATAAAAGCCCAGATTTAATACGTTTTTTAATATCAAATGGAGCAGATGTTAATTTGAAAGATAATGATGGACAGACTTTCCTCCACCAAATTTATTCTCCCTCCAATCTGGCTGCAATATGGGGAGTGTTACTTACACATGCTGTCGATATCAATGCAAAAGACAAAAAAGGGTGCACTCCTCTTCATTATGCAGTAATAAGGGGATTGGTGAAATTAGTTAAATTTCTTGTTTCTCATGGAGTAGATGTCAATTCAAAAGATTTTTTGGGATCGACACCTCTTCATTACGCAGCAGAACAATTTAGTTTTGATATTGTCGAGGTACTTATTTCTAACGGTGCAAATATCAATGAGAAAAACAATAAAAATCAAACTGCTCTCTCCCTTGCTATTGAATCACCACCTGAATATAAAATTTATTACAATAAGACAATTGAACTTCTTAAGTCGAATGGTGGCATATGTTAACAAGAGGGATAATTGCAAATAGTTTTTCTGAATGGAGGTAAAAATTTTTTAGATATTTTAAGTCCCACACAAGATATCTAAAATTAGTGCTATAAAAGTGACACTATTCGCAAAACAGCATCCTTACATAGCCTGTTCGTATTATAATAAAACTAATATATCAATGGCAATTTTGAAAAATGAGATTTATAACGATGGAAGAAAAGTGACCATTCAAAAATTTGATTCATAACCTACAGTCCCCACAAAATCGGAGTTGAGAGGCAATTCAATTTTTTTGAGAGAAAAAAACGTGCGAGAAAAATATTATACTTGATTTATATTAATAAGCAAAATTATCGATAAATAATATTTGAAAACTTGTAAATATTTCTTACTTATAATCATTGTTTCTCATAATAATTTAATTATCCATATGTTACTTTAGCTGTATCAAGACAAATTTTTTCATAAAAATAATCTTGAAGAATTCGCAAATTTCAAACTCAACGTTAAGCTGATTTTATATTTTATTATACATTTCCATATCATATATGTACTAGTTAAGCTGAAATAGTGTCAATATGTTTTTCTGAGGAAAAAATGCTCGTTTATTATTTTTTGCATCTTGCAATAAGTGCTAGTATTCCAGGCTAAAAGCAGTCGCAAACTAACAAATTGTTAGCATTTCACCTCTAGCTCAGAAATAACAAGAATCATAACTCATTCAGCATTATTTGCAATTTCAATTCGACAAAAGCTTTTCAATTGCTCAATTCTCTTATTTATTTCCAGTGAAAATCCCAAATTCTTATAATAGAGCTCAAGAACGCAATCAAAGAAAAATTTATTTTCATTTATTACCAAATTTCCATGAATTCTTTCCAAAATAGAATTTAAACAATGGACATAGCCTGTATTTGTATTTTCCAACTCCAAATTAGTTGGTTTTTGTTGACGATTGCTATCGTCTTTTTTTCACCAAAATCTATTTATTATTAATCTTTGTCTTGTATATAGATAATAAAAATCTCTTTCTTAAAATTTTTATTAACTCTCATAGAAAAAAAAGTCTCAAATTCCGCGATGAGTACTTTGCCCTCTCAATCGAAATTTGAGTAGTGAGGTTTACAAAATCCAATTGAATACACAGAGGTTTACATTTTATTTTTTGAGAGCCCTCACTACTGAGATTTTGGGACCACTATACCTTACAAGATATTGACAAATTTTCTATGATCTACACTCCTGAACAGCAAACAAACAAAACTTCCCAACAGATTTGCAAAATCTACTATTTTTAAATACCCTCACACAAATACATGATAATCTCTCAGTTATTTAACATTTTTCCCCCTATTTATCTAGAGTCTTTATAACAATCAAATTCTGTATTGTCGTAAATAAATTGTGCTATTTTTATTCTAAAGATAAGATTCTTGGCTGACTACATTAATGGGGATACTTACTACAAGATTAAGTATCCAGATCACAACTTAGTCCGCACAAAGGCACAGTTCAAACTCTTACAAAGTGTTGAAGCTCACATGCAAGAAATGAAGGACTTCATCGCTTCATTATAAGTTAATTTTGATTAATTTATACCTCAATGAAATAAAAACTCTCAATATATCTCTCCATTTTTATTTAATCTTGGAAAATTGCTAGTTATCATTTTGTTTATTCATTTATGTCTAAATTTTTAATTTGCTCAAAATAATCCTTACCAGAATTCAAATTTAAAGCAACAAATATTGATTCTACCAAAAATTTAGTTAAAGTGTATTATTAAATTGATATAAATTTCATGTTTTACATTTATGATTTCTTGAATCATCATAAATTCCCTGATTATCAATTAAATTCGAGCCTTCACACGAATCTGATGTAAATATTTAAATCAATAGCGAATTTTTACCGATGTAAAATATTGAAACTTCTTTCAATTTTTTTTCAATTTCAATCTTAGATGAATATTTTGTTTTTTCTTGGAGTAGTATCCATTCGACGTGGACCTTTTCTGTACAAAAGTAGTCAACAAACAGATCCACTCGTATCTATGGATGCAAATACTCCATATATGATAGAAATTGCGGAACAATTTTTTATAAAAAAGATATCAGTTTCATTATCTCTATCAAATACAACATACATAATTACAGAATCAGAGATACCTCCTGATGGCTATAAAATGATTGAATTCGAAGATTCTGAACTTGATTTTATCTCGTTACCAAAGAAATATTCATTATTTAATCGAATTACAATATCACATTACCCGAAAATTGAAATTTCATCACTTATATTCGTATTAATTGTTGTTGCAATCGCTTTTATCTTTCCATACAAAAAACAAAAAAATGTTTTGCTCGATAAATCAATATTTTTACAGAAAAACGAAAAGAAAGACTTATTATATTTATTTGATAGCTTAGAATGCGATCAAATAAACTCGTATTTAGTTGATCCAGAAAAATCTAGATTTTTCTTTCTTCGACCTGCCAGAGTTGGTCGCAAGACAAAATCTGCTATTGTATACTACGTAGCTTGTTTGCCAATAAAAAATCATTGCTTTATCTTCTGTTGTCAATTTGAAAATACAGATTCCCATCCTGTTCATTTACAATGTAAAGTTACAATGGATGGTGGCCGAGAATGCAAGTCTACAGTCAAGTTTACATCGTACAGAGACTTCAGGCCATTAAAAGTCGAATATATGATCGATAACAATGTAGAGGTTATTACTTATCTCCCGGCAACCTCACTAGGACCACTTGTACCATTCGGAAATCTCATTTCCATCTCGAATTCCATGTTCTTTAACGCAAATGAATTTTTCGATCGCGATTCTCTCCTTAATTTCAACTTTTCTAAGATATTACGTAGTTACTGTACTAAGCTGAACATCGACAGAGCCTATTTCTACACCCCGGAGCACGGATTGTTCCATTTTTACACAAAACAAGGTTTACAAGAGACAAATCTCAACGAAGTCAAGAAGTTGTTCGAGAAATTCTCAGCCAAATCGTCAATTGAACACAATGTTTTCAGAGAAGGAGACACGTGTATGTTCAATAAGTCAGTTTTAAAAGTTATGACAGTTTATACCATTTTAGACATCACAAATATACCTGATGACAAGGGATATTACTATTTCTTCCTCAATCTCATATGCGATTTCTGCGTTTTCTTGTTCCAAATCTCGTTAACTAAAGAACAAAATTTGATGTTCCTCAGATTCGCAGATTTGATATCGAGACCTTCTTCCTACAGCTTGTTCGAGGTTTCCCTTCGCACAAAGACCGTTACTTTGGCAAGATCTACGCTTTTCCCGCCTGATTGTGTTACATTCGACCAAATATTGAATAAAATTTACTCTTCGGGCGATCCGATGATCAAACAGAAGATGGATGCCCTTTTCGAGACATTTATGAACGTAAATGTGGTCAATCAACAATCTTTCGAAATTCATGGCGAAAAACATCAATGGTTCAACATTACGTCATACGCAACAAATGATAGAATCACTAAAGAAGTCATTTGTTCAATTATCGTTGAAGATATAACTCCTATCAAACAACAAGAGATTGACTTGAGGGATTCACTTATCGACCTTAAGTTCTCATCAGAGGCCTTAAGCTTGAACAAATTCTCCGTTAACGGTACCGAAATTACTGATTTGTCAGATAATCTTGGTCGTATCTTAGGAAGGTCGGAACGACCTGTACGTATCGACAAAATCATCCACCCAGCAGACGAAAACCTCATGACGTGGTTCGGAAAGAAGATGGTGACTGTAAGATTGCAAAGAGGAGATGGATCTTACATGTATTTCTCTTTGTTCGCTAATAATAACGTAGGCTTCGCATTTAATACAGATGAAGCGGTTAAAACTCGCGAAAAGCTCCAGATGACTGGAAAAGGTTTACAATTGGCCAGTGTCACTTCCTCTCTCATTTTCTGGAGCTTCGACCTTATCACTGGTACTGTAATGCCACTTCTACAGCAGCCAACTATCTGGGAAACCCTTTCCGTCGATCCACAAACAAAATTCTTCAAATTCTTGGATTTCATCCATCCGGACGAGAAAGAAGCAATAGAAACAACTTTAACAGACCTCAAGGATGAAAAGACAAGAGAATGGACCGGAGAATGCAGAATATTAAAATATGGAAAATATGAGTGGCACAGAATCATATTTGCCATTGCCAAACAACATTTCGTACATGCATTCGCAGCATCCATCAGTTCCCAGAAGGAAACAGCTAAGCAATTTGCAGATAATTGCAAGATAAGAGATATTATCTTCTCAAGTGGCAAATTAACAGTTTGGAAGTACTTCGATGATGATCTACCAGTCACAGAGCATACAAGGCTTATTCCTGGCATTGCAACTGTCGTAAGAGTTAATAGAACATTTGTAAACACTTGTATGGCTCCGGAAGTTGCAGCCGTGTTCAGAGAAAAAATCAGACAGACGATAGAAACTAATGAAGTCATGGAATTCAAAGTTTCTGAAGATGACAGATTTTATTCCATCCGTGGCAAGTACCAGCCGACTTCCAAGCAGGTAGTTGGCATCTGTATCGATGTTACAGATGTAGAACGTGCAAACCAAGAGCTGGAAGAGCAAAGAAAAATTGCGGTTGAAGCAAATAAGCAGAAGACATTGTTCTTAGCGAACATGAGCCACGAAATCAGAACTCCTATGAACCCAATCTTCGGTTTACTCGATATCATAGCCCAAGGCGAAATTACAGGCGAACAAAGATTATTAGTTGACACAATGCGATCACTGTCCTTCCAGTTGCTTAAGTTATTGGACGATACCCTCAATTTGTCTAAAATCGAGCAAGGAGATATGGAAATGAACGTTGCAACATTTGATTTCTGGGCCGCCATTGAACCAGCGATCGTAGCGAGTGCCAGTCGTGCCAGGAAAGACGGTATCAAGTTCATTGTCCGCAGTTCTCCTAAATTCCCGCTCAAGATAAATCATGATGTCCATCTCATCCAGCAAATCCTTAACAACCTCTTCTCCAATGCTCTTAAATTTACTAAGAAGGGATTTATAGAGCTGGCGGTCTCCTGGGCCGAAGAAGAAGACCAAGAAGTGATCAGAATTGCAGTTTCTGATACAGGTATCGGTATCTCCTATGACCAACAAAAGATCATTTTCCAGAGATATTTCCAAGCAGACCCTTCAAATCCTGTACATTACGGTGGATCTGGATTAGGTCTCGCATTAGTCCAAGAAATCGTCCATTTCATTGGAGGATCGCTTAGACTCGAGTCAGAACCAGGAAAAGGCTCAACTTTCTTGATCGATATCCCAATTGAATCCGCATATTTCCCAACATTGCCTGTATTCAAAGGAGCAAGCAAAACAATCATGGTTCTGTCATCCGATGGCATAAATCGTGAAATTATAAGAGCTTGGGCCGTAGATCTTCACTTTGCCGTCAAATTTGTTGAAAATGCGGACGAAGCTCTCGGATTCATGAGAACTGAAGGCGTTGCAGGCACAATTGTCGATACATGTGCAGCGGATGTCAACAAACTCGTTCCTGAAGCTAAAACTCCACTTTGCGCCGTAATTGAAGCCGAAGAAGGTTCAAAAGCCGAATTTCGTATCACAAGACCAATATTGCCGCACGCATTGTGCAAATTCCTCAATTTCTGCCGATTTGGAATCAAAACTAAACACGATACTCAACAATCTTCGGAACCAACGAAGAAGAGAGTCCTCGTCGTTGAAGATAACAAGCAGAACCAGTTTGTCATGAAGAAGATATTGGAAAAACTCGGTTGTTCCTTCGAAATGGCTGATAATGGACAAATTGCAATTGATATCTTGAACGCGAACATCGATAATCCATTTGATCTAGTATTCATGGATTGCCAGATGCCTGTACTTGATGGATTGTCCGCTACTCGCAAGATTAGAGCATCAGGAAAACCTTACGCGAATATGCACATCATTGCATTGACTGCAAACGCAATTGAAGGTGATAGAGAGTCTTGTCTGGCTGCAGGAATGGATGATTACCTCTCTAAACCTGTTAGAATACAACAGATCAAGAATGCTTTGACTATGTTTGATTAATTTATTATTTCATAAATTTTTTGTTTATATTTTTTTTGTCTATACAGATTTTTATTTTTAGACTTTTGTGACATAAGACATTAATGATGTTTCATTTGATAATAATTGTCACTGAATGTGTGATATTCTCTTTGTACTAATTCTTTAGTAGATCTAAAATCTGTTTTGTTTATAAGTATGAAGTCCATTGACCAAGAAATTTGAAAAAGTGAAATATATTTTTTATCTTTTGAGAGAGAGTTGTAATTTTTTGTAATTGATGTGAGCAACTGAGGTCTTTAAGAATATGTATTGATGAGTTACTGAGTGGCAATCTCATATCCATGACGGAACAAATATGTTAATATCTCTTTTTACCCAGATTTGCTTTACTTTTACCACCTCTCGAAAGCTGGGGACACCGCCTATCGTTGGGAGTAGCTATTAAATAGAACCACCAAGGGTATTTTTCGAACTGCCGGTGTAGTGTAGTGGAAACATCTGACATAATGATTCGTTATGCTAAGGTTTGATTTCGATTTAGCCAATTTTTTTCTTTTTTGGATCATGAATTTTTTTTTGGGTCACTATAAGATTTGTTTCATGTTCTAAATCTGCTGCATATGTAATCTATTTTTATTTACCTATTTTTTAAAAATCTATTGGATTGCCAAATTTGAATATATTTAAAATCATAAAAATCCAAAAAAACTATAAATATATGTTTTATGCATAGTGCCGATACTCAAATATCAGATTACTTAGATCCATGAATAATATCCGAATTTTTTTTCTTAAAATTAAACTTCAAAACTTCTTGCAATCTTATTCTTCATTAATTGTAAATTTTTAAAACCATTTTTTTAAAATAATTTTGCGTAAATTTTATTCTCATGTTGTTTTAATCGAAAATTGATACATTTTCAAAAAAATAATATTGACTTATGAAATTCATTTTTAAGGTGAAATAGTATTGTTTTTATTAAAGTATATGAATAATATATAAAAATTAATGAATAATATAAGCAGATTTTTAGTTTACAAAACAAATATGAGCAATGCAATTTCAAACTTTTGCTGGCAATTTCGATATTGCTCAAGTTTGTAGTATTTGTGATACCTATAACATCGGCTTAATCAAAATTCGATTTTTCTTATGAGTTATTGAGAAAATTTGATTGCAATGAGAAGGATTTCGACGTTTTTGATAAACTAAGAGCTGAGCTTTAGGGGTTCAGTTCATTTATGGCTGTAGTTTGATGCGTAGATCTCTTTTTTATTGTAAATTCTTTCAGCATGGAGATCGAGAATGAATCTTTTGAGAACTTTATGAGTTTTTACACCCGTAAAGAGGTCCTTCGAGGAAAGATAGTCCAGACTACATGAAGATGTGGGTTAACAAAAAAAATCCGATGGTTTCCCCATATTCATGTAGATCTTCGAAAAAATGAGCACCAAAAAAGCCAAAAAAATAGGCTTTTTATTGGATTTGTACACTAGATCAATAATCTATTTAGGATCTGACACTCTTTTTAGCCAGAGATATGAGGTCCTTTCTAGGAAAACGATCTATTCATCCATAAAAAAAATGAATTATCGTTTTCCCCAGAAATTACATGGGGAGTGGTAAAAGTAAAGCAAATCTGGGTAATTTTGAAAATATACCAAAATTAAGAATAATCTGCTTCAATTTATTTTTTTTCTGAACTATTTTCTTGATTTGATCCTAATCTTTCTTCAAAAAAATCAAAAATCTTACTAATTCTAAAGTAATCATTTGTATTTTCATAAATATATTGCTTTATATGTGGACTTTATGATGTGTGTATTTTGTTATATAAAAAGCTTTGTTATATTATGAAAAAGCTTTTTTTTTGATAAATAGCGTTATGCATGGGCTTTACATATGGTGCAAATAATGCGGAAAAATTATATTATTCATATTATAGTTTCTAATTATGAGAGAAAGACTTTCAATCATATCAATTCACTCGATTTTTGTTGAAAATAAAGTAGATTGATGATAGATATAAATTAAAGGCTTTTATTCATTCATTTCGAAAAGATAGTTAATCATCTAGAAACATCTCATTCCATGTTTCCAAATTGTGTTCTTCTTGGAGGGTCAAAATGCTTCTTCTTTCTGTTAGACAATAACAAAAAAAGCTTTTGGTATTATTATTATGGTCCTTTTTTCATTTAAGGTACCCTATTCAAAAAATGAAAGGGGGTCCCTCACAAAATTGAAGGGGTACCATTCAAATTCTATCGAAATAGTACCTTAATTAAAAAAGCTCTCAACCGGTACCATTCAAATTCCCTCAAAAATATTGAAAAGATTTTAGGTATGCTGCTAATATAGTTAGTAGCATCATACAGAATGCATAGACAAATTTTTTACTAATTATTTTTTCTTAGCAATTCAAATTCGAGATCGCTTAACTATGCTTAGAATCATAAGCATAATAATTTTGCAAAAGGTATGGGAATAATTTGAAAATTAATTTCAAAATTATTAATACTAGTGCAAGCTAGTGTAAGCATGTAAATGCATATTTGTGCACTGATTCGATACTCTTTTTTTGGAAATTGTACTTTATCTTAAATTTCGAATGCAAATTTTTTGAATATGTGTATTGAAACTGTAACCTTTTGTCTAAGTTGCATTCTAATATAGCTCGAATTCTAAAAATGGGACTTTACTCCTCTTTCTTTGAGAAAATTTTAGACAATAGCCAAATTGCTAATTTTGTTGGAGTAATACCTGCATTGGGAGGTATAATATATTGTTCAGGGTTGAAACAAGGAGGTAGTTAGTGATAAAGCATAGTTACCACATGAAATGCAGTAAAATTTTGAGTCTAAACGTCTTTTAAACCATCAAGTATAAATTATAGAAAAAGATACTTTATATATAGTTAAAATAAAAATGATTAGAAAATAGCGTTTTTGATCAAAATTTCAAATTTTTATTTCCGAATATCTCTATTTGTGTCTAATTAGAGACATTTCTATAATTTTAGTGCGCAGCATATGCAATTCCTCTTTGGTTATTGCATTAATTTCTCAAAAAGAAAAAAGTCTTCAATAATTTTTTCAACAATACAGTACTAAAGCTAAGAACTTCTAAACACATGAAAAGTTATATCATTCTCGTTAATATGTAGATTATCAATGAAAAGAATATTGTGAAATTTGAATATTTTTTAAAATAGAATGTAGAAATACTTATCAATGCTTAAAATAGAGATATGTGAGAGCTAGATCCGTATTTATTTACGTTTTCGTGCATATTTTGAATATCAAATTAAATTAATTTTGAAGATTTTAGCATCTAAAAGTATTTAATGCCCCTATACAAGCAAGGTAATTCTTACATGTCTTAGTAAGTCCAAACTTAATGTTTTATGATATGGGCCTGACCTCTCCATATGGTGACGATAGAAATTGAATTGGGTACCTAAATAAAAAAAAGGAGTTTAATTAGTTTGGCATTCTATTGCTCATCGAGAACATTATTCCAACAACTGCATATATAGAAATACTAAGAATAAACATCGAAAGGAATCCACCTAAGGATTGTGAAGAAGAAAAAACTGAATCTAATTTCTTTAAAACAAAATCATCACAAAATTGGGATTCGGTATGATTAGTATATTTAAGAGAATTGCAATTGTATAATTTCTCGAAATCTTTAATTTCTTGGGATGTATTCCATGATGAAATTAATTTTTGCTTAATTGCTCGAGATGGTGTTTTACTAAGGCCCAAAACTTAAAAAAACACAAAAAAATTAACTTTACTCTTTTGAGATCCTTATCAGATATGCATCAATTTGATGCAGTATCGCAGTTCAAATCTGATTTTTTAATGTAGATGTACTCTAACATCCTTTAAAAAATGCAAAATGATATTAATTAAGCTTTTCATTTCTGTATCATACACGAAACAAAATCGTTCATTATACTAAAATTTATCAAAGTTTGATTAATGAAAAAATAATATCTAAATTTTTACATTGAGTCGGCTATTGATATGGTTAATATTAAATCTTGTAAAAATTGGCATTATCCAGAATAATACCCACTAAAATACACAATTTTTTTTAAAAAAATTTTATCAATTGTTATGGTATATCTTTATGATAATGAATAAAATGCTTATTTTTCATAAGTAAATACATAATTTATGCTTAAACACAAAAAATAACACGAAAATTTTTGGCCAACATATCTAAACTAAGGATAATGGTTTGAATATATAAACAATAATACTTTGTCCAGGGAATTAAATTTGTGCTATCCAATTGTCAATTCTTTGAATTTTTTTTAAATGCAAGATATCCCGGCATTAGCCTCAATAAATATATATATTATGCATCATAATATTAGTTTGTAATGACATTAAAGCAAAATTCCTAATTTCTTCTCAATTAAATTCCTTGAAAAACATTGGAATTAATGATTGGAAATAGGTCAAAAAATTCCTAATATAAAACTTATACTTAAGATAAAATTAAAATTCGAAAATATCTATTTTTCAAAACACGCATCCAAAAGCGAAAAAATTCGAAAAAATCATGTTCTTATAAAACTCACTGATTTTGCAATTTTTATGAGATTTGAAGTGATAGAATATATTACCATCTTATTGAAACATATGCTTCATTGTTGTATTCACATAATATTAATCAGAACACTAGGAAAAGTAGATTTTCGAAAAATGACGATAACGATTATTTGCAAATCGCCTCTCAATTTTGAGAGACTTTCAATTTTTACAGTGGACCCTTAAATGAATTTTCCTGAGATGTAAATGTAGCTGAAAGTAATAAAAGGATCGAAATACTGTATATAAAATTCATAAGGAATCTAAAAAGTTGAACTTTCTTTTTGAATGTGTATTTATATTGAAGAACAAATGCTAAAAGCATTGCGGAGCTTGTAATAATAACAAATATAGTGTATCCGTATAAACTTTTTGGTGCCAATTTGAATAAAGAACACTCTTCGTAGGCAGTTTTAATACTGAGGCTGACAATTAATGTGGCTAATGGGCTTACAATTTCAAAAATTGTTAAAAATACTCCAGAACCTACCATTATGATCATAAATATCGAAGCACAGTCGGGCGGTGCTCCAAGATTATCATTCATTCAACAAAAATGAAAAGAATTCTAAGATTAATCTGCCAAAATAGTGTAATTGTCACCATTTTTTATTCCTATGGCTTAGATTATGATAAATTTTAATTGGAATTATCAAATTTTTAATTTTAAATACAAATTCAGTGATATTATAACAATGAATACAATAATATTACACTTAGATGTAATCGCGTACGATAATGTTTGAAAAATTTTATCAAGAAATAAAAAACATTTTAAACAAACTACATTAAAATTATGCTTGGCTGAGAAGGAACCTAGTGTTATCAGAAACTGACTCAAGTTCAGGGTTATTTCTTTCAGCGCATCTCTTTGCAGTAATAACAATAATAAATGACAGCATAATTGCTCCCGCACATACTGACAGGAAGATAGTAACGTATAAGTTTGGAGTATCGCATCTATAATTTCTAAGATTCGAATCAAATTTAGCAATCTGCCCTGGATTCATTTTTTTGGTTTTGCCTTCATACCATTTCTTGTATTTCTCTGTTTCATTTCCGGGGTATGTCGTTTTCTCTTGAATTATCTTGCAATACTTAGGTTCAGACATAACAATAACCATAATTAAATCGACAACTTCGCCAATGCCAGCAAGAAGGCTAAGTGTCATAAATAAACTTGCTAAGAAATTTAATTTGCATTTTACTAAGAATCTGTTAAGAGTTGCTGCAATAAATGAAATGATCGGGAATATCCATCCACAAAGTACAACAATGTATAAATTATAGGCTTCATCGTTATCATTTTGCCAAAAAGGGAAATCATATCGAATATTTGACCACCAAATCCCAACAACAATAACTGCACCTAATAGGCCAACTACGGAACTCATTCCTAAAATGAGGGCGAAAGCATCTAGTATGATTTTTGAAGCTTTCACCATTTTATGATAAAAATTTGACATTTTTCCATCATATAAACTTCGATGTCACTTTTGCGGCCGAGCGGAGTGAGGCCGCAAAAGTGACATCGAGGTTTACATGAATGGGTTCTATAGATATACAGCTTGACCGGTAGAAAAGCGGATCGATTTTTATCAATAATTGGACATTCTATTTTTAATAAAATAAACATATATTTATATGGGAAATTAGGGAGATCTGAAACTCAAAAATTATTTTTGATTTTTAATATGATGAATGTAATTGTGATAATATGTACATTACAAATAAAATATTAATTCGGAACAACGATGAGATGTGATAAATTTGATTCTCTCAAAAATCGATTTTGGGGTTTTAATATTAATTTGTATCTTATATGCATATAGGATATATAATAATTTTAAAACATCAAAAAGTGACGATTTGCGGTTAGAAAAAGTCATCAAAACACTTTTTAATGATTTGATTTAACATATGCATAGACCATCTCTTTGATATTTAACTTCAATTTCCCGAAATGAAAAGGATTTGAACAAAAACGATTATTTTACGATCATTTTTTGTAAATTTTTTTAAATTGAGACTGACATCTCTAAAATCTTCTAAAAAATCCAAATATCAAATAAAATAATATCATTAAAATTCCTCTCAATTTAAAAAATTTTTATAAATTGAGACTTCAATCTCTAAAATCTTCTAAAAAATCCATATATCACAAAAAATCACGATATTATTTTTATTCTCAATTTCAAAAATTTTTTTTGTACTGACTTTCTTTTTCAATAACAGCATGGCAGAAATTTGAAACGAAGTTTCAAATTTCTCAATCTTGCATTCTGGGCACTTACGTGCCCAGAATGCTAAAAGGCGCGTAGCGCCGTCTCTGAATATCAAATTTATTATAATTTATGAAATTTCAAATAAAATTTATGAAATTTCAAATAAAATCGATCTGTTATAACACACTGGTGCATGACAGCCTTGTTATCCATTCATGGGTTATATATATACGGTCTAGGTGAAGACATTGCGGATCGAAGATCCGCAATGTCTGAACCCCCCAAATTTATATTAAAAAGTATGTTATTATATGGGAAAAATTCGAGATTTCGAACTCAGAATTTAGAATTGGGTTATTTTGGATTCTTTCGCTTTGGGAGGGCGCAAAGCGCCCTCCCAAAGCGATAAAAGGTCGAAAATGCTTATCGAATAAAATCATATATCAGAAAAAATGACTTTGGATATGATAAATATCATTGTTATAATTGATACATATTATATTGCACATTATTTTGAAATTTTATTTTTTCAAAATTTTCAAAATTTAATTTTGATTTATATCTAAATATTATATGATTTTAAGATAGCATCTCTCAATTTTATTAAAACGGTTTTTGGTTTCCCTCAAATATGTTAAAATTGAGAAAAACAAAACATTTTTAGGTGAAGCACTCTGAAGTTCTGAGCCAGACTTCAGATATCTCGATACAGTGAAGTACCCAAAATCATCTGCATTTGCCATAAATATTTATCGCTCGAATTTTGCAATTGAACTTTGCGTTCGATATCTGATTATACATACTTTCGAAATTGTAAGACCTAGCGACCACACACTAACACAATCACTCAGCCGAATCAATTGATCCAATTCTCCATTATATTATTGGTTTATAATAAGAAAATTTGATAAAAAGTCAAAAAATAAGCGATATCAAAGATTACTTTATGGGTGTACTATTAATTGACCCTTTTCTGATTAATTGCGAATTACTGAAATGTATTTATTTGTTAGATTCTTATATAAATTTTAAAAATCTCTTTATTTTCTTAAGTTCTACTTACAATTTGTAATCTTTTATTTCATAGTAAGGATGTCAATTTGGAAGAAAAGTGAGAAAATTCCTAAAATGCTAAAAATGAATTTTCCAAACGTATTTTTTTATCTCATTTTTTTGATGAGTAGGTGACAAAAGTGCATACTCTTAAACAACCATCGGATTTCCGGGTGAAATCGTGACACACTTTCGTCTTTCGTAGGCAGTGGTGGTTGTTACAAAAGGTAACTTCGAATGTAGCGTGAAATCTGCAAAAAAAATTCTGAAATTTGAATGGATAACACAAAAATTGAATAGTTTACGTCAATAAAAAAGAGAAAAATGAAGCTAATGTGTCTCGAACCTAGAACTTAGAGCAGCAATCCCACTGTTTATCCCATTACACTAAATGCATCTCTCACCTCAGTGAATGAGATCAACTATATGATAACTTTTTCCCCATTATATTCTTGTGGAAAAGTGACAAATAGCAACTTTGACCCTCTCTCTTTTTTTGATTTTGAAAAAAATTTGGAGAGAAGAACTCTTCGTTTTTGAATTTTATCACGATGGTTTTAAAGTATATTAGACAAATGTATTGGTATTACTATTTTTGTATATTTTGAGAGAAAATCCCTAAAAAGTGAGAAAATCTAAGACGGTTTGAGAAAATATATAAACTATTGAAAATTTGAATTAAACTTCTAATTTGGAAAAAAGAAATTTGGAAAGAAGAAAATTCAAAAATCGAGATTTAGACTCAGTATCAAAAAAAAAAAAAAAAAAAAAAAAAAAAAAGGTAGTGGGGCTTCCAGGCACTTCGTGCCTTCTAGCCCTGAAGATGTTTAGTATAAATGAAGTTTTTATTCGGAAAATTGTTAGTCTTCTTGGTCGAAAACATTATATATGTTTTCATGTTTTGTCAAGACTTCTTCTTCGTAAATGTTTTGTCAAGACTTCTTCGTAAATGTTTTGTCAAGACTTCATCGTAAATGTTTTGTCAAGACTTCTTCTTCGTAAATGTTTTGTCATGATTTCATCGTAAATGTTTTGTCATGATTTCATCGTAATGAGCGTAAATGACCAAAAAATAATGTTTATGTTAGAATGTTAGATCTAACACCTTTTCTAACATGTTTTCTAACATCGTAGAAAACTCATGAATTTCATCGTAAATGTTTTGTCATGACTTCTTCGTAATGAGCGTAAATGACCAAAAAATAATGTTTATGTTAGAATGTTAGATCTAACACCTTTTCTAACATGTTTTCTAACATCGTAGAAAACTCATGAATTTCATCGTAAAGACTTTGTCAAGACTTCTTCGTAAAGACTTTGTTAAGACTTCTTCGTAAATGTTTTGTCAAGACTTCTTCGTAAATGTTTTGTCAAGACTTCTTCGTAAATGTTTTGTCAAGACTTCTTCTTCGTAAAATCAGACAAAAATAATGTTTAGGGTAGAAGGTTAGATATAACCTCTTTTCTAACCTCTTTTCTACCCTCTTGAATTTTCAAGACTTCTTCGTAAATGTTTTGTCAAGACTTCTTCGTAAATGTTTTGTCAAGACTTCTTCGTAAATGTTTTGTCAAGACTTCTTCGTAAAATCAGACAAAAATAATGTTTAGGTGAAGAGGTGAGATTTCACCTGTTTTTTCACCTAATTTTTCACCCTCTTGAATTTTCATGAAATTTACACCAAAAATATATTTTAGGTGAAGAGGTGAGATTTCACCTGTTTTTTCACCTCTTTTCTCACCTCTTGAATTTTCATGAAATTTACACCAAAAATATACTACTAGGGTCATTTTACGAAGAAATCTCAACAAAGTCTTTACGAAGAAATCTCAACAAAACATAGACAAGAAAGTTCATGAGAAATTAGATGAAGAAGTCTTAACAAAGTCTTTACGAAGAAATTCATGAAAATTCAAGAGGTGAGAAATGAGGTGAAAAAAGAGGTGAAATCTCACCTCTTCACCTAAAATATATTTTTGGTCATTTACGAAGAAATCTCAACAAAGTCTTTACGAAGAAGTCTTAACAAAGTCTTTACGAAGAAGTCTTAACAAAGTCTTTACGAAGAAATTCATGAAAATTCAAGAGGGTAGAAAACATGTTAGAAAAGGTGTTAGATCTAACATTCTAACATAAACATTATTTTTGGTGTAAATTTCATGAGTTTTGTATGTTTTAGACCATGTTAGAAAACATGTTAGAAAAGAGGTTAGATCTAACATTCTAACATAAAATATATTTTTATTGAATTCCGTATGAAATTTCATGAGTTTTGTATGTTTTAGACCATGTTAGAAAACATGTTAGAAAACATGTTAGATCTAACATTCTAACATAAAATATATTTTTGGGTCATTTACACTCATTTACGAAGAAATCTCAACAAAGTCTTTACGAAGAAATCTCAACAAAGAAATTTTATTGGTAAGTAAATGTGGTTTGAAATAGGACTACTTGTTTTAGGTTTTTTCCATTGTGTCATTTACTTATTTGACGTGGCAGAAAGATATAGAGAATATGAAGATGAACCAATGCCTGCAAATGTTCAGCATATGTACTCGTAAGAGATATTTTTATCTAATATTAAATGGACGCACAGAACTTAGCGAATGCACAGCAACCTGGACAACCAAACCCAGAGAATATTCCAAATGAAGTTAGAATACAAACTGCAATGGCAAACTATGGTCAAGTGCCAACAGATGTACAAATGCAAACTGCCATGTCAAATGACGCTGCGTTAGGCTTACCACCATGGTATGCAAATATGAGATGGAAAGAGTTTTATACAAACCCTGAGGTGGGATATAAACAACTCTATGCAGATGACGCGAACACAGGAGTTGACCCAGAGTATGTTTTCTACCAGAGGAGAAATAGAATGTATGAGCTCCAGTTAAAGAATGCTATGGAACTCAACAGGAAACGTAAGAGACTAGGCGGACATTAGATTTTTACATATAGTAAAATGGGTTTCTTCAGTAGTATTGGAAACTTCTTTCGAAATGTTGGAAGAGGTATATGGAATGGAATAAAAACCGTAGGAAGAGGAATTTGGAACGGAGTCAAAAATATTGGTAAAAGAGTAGGTCAGTTTGTTGGTATTATACCTAAAGACCCTGAACCAGAAGAACAAGCTCCTGTTATACAACAGCCTGAACCTGCACCACAGTCTAGTTGGCAACCAAATCCAACACCTCAACCGTATTAAAAAATTATATTTTTACCGTTCGATAGTAGTTGTATATGAAACTAAGTTCTAAGTAAAACGCATGGTATAATGGAATTATTCTTTTTCTTCCATCTGTAGTAAACCATACTTGAAAGTCTGAAATACTTCCACTTGGTGGTTCGTATAACTTTGTAGGTTTTTCGTAAAAATCATTTGCCAAGCATAAGAAAGAGTTTTGGGCGCCAGAAAATGAAGCATGAACAATAATAGCAGCTGGGTCGAAAACATCTTTAAATAAATATGGTTCATCTCTTGCATATCGACTGTAAATATTTGCTAAAGGAAGTTCGACTTTCTGATTTAACATTCTTTGCAAATAATACCATGACATTGCAGTGAATTCTGTATATATTTGTTCGTCTTTCTTTGGATTGTCTTCGTAGATTTGAAATGACACTTGTGAATTTTGTTTGTCATATACAATTCTCACATAAAGTGTGCTCTCGGTATTTGCATATTCATCAGCATATTTTGCATAACATGAATTTATTTTATCTTCTATATTTTTTAACGCAGTCTGTAGAGAAGATGAAAGGTCAACTTGTATTAGCTCAATTTCTTCCCACATTTTTCGTTTCCCTTCAGATATATAATCTATATGAAACCTTACAATAAATGGAAAACTTTTATCTTCTACAGACACAAACTTCATTCTACGAAAGCCAATAGCTTTTGTGACAGATGGGTCTCTTAGCCATCTTAATGGGTAGTCAAAACGATAGCCTTCATGCTTTACGGTCTCTGTCTCAAACTTTTGACCGACATTAGTAAAAAGTTCATCTAATGGTTTAGTTGTAGCAACTCTTGAATTTTCTTTTTCTATTGAAAGCATATTTTATCTAGAATAAAAATGTCGAAAGAAACAGCGTCTATGAGAGAAATACAACACAACCGACAACTCATTTTGCAAGCTCTAAATAAGAACACAACAAACTTTTCAAACTATTCTAAGATATCTGAGTCATTGAAAGAAGGAAACTTAAAACTGACGATAAACCCATTGACAGACGAGTTTCTGTTTCAAGACAGTAAGAACCATACTGTTTGTATAAATCCAACAAAAAGAACTTTAAACGAGAAACCTATAGATGAACTTCTTTTGAAGGCAGATATTGACAACAAAGCTGACAAAGAGTATGTAGATGCAACAAGAGACTATATTCTCGCATGGACAGATAGAACATACCCACAAAAACATCATACACATAACATCTATGACGTAGATGAACTACCAGCAATGTTAGATGACAAAGCAGATAAAACATATGTTGACAATAAAATGTCAAGTGAAGTGACAAGAGCTGACAAAGAATATTCTAAAAAGACTCATACACATACCATATCTGATATTACAAACTTACAAGAAACCTTAAACAGGAAAAGTGACGTTGGACATACACACGATTTCTTCGCAACTGTTGGTATAGAAAATATTGAAGGAACGGTTGAAGAAACTGGTGGGGATGTATTAAATTGGAAACCTCCTAACTTTCCACAAGGTTTAACATCGGAAGAAGACATAACAACGATGAGATACATTAGATGTAGAAATGTCTATGTCATGGAGGATGAAAACAAAGTTAAATTCACTGCTCAAGATTTATATGATAAAAAAGCTGACAAAACATATGTTAACGATGAGTTAGATAAAAAAGCTGACAAAACATATGTTAACGATGAGTTAGATAAGAAAGCTGACAAAACAGAGCTTCAAACGTTAAAGACAGAAATACTTCAAACAGTATATCCTATAGGCTCTATTTATACGTCAATGAACTCAACAAATCCAGAAACAGTTCTGGGTTTTGGAACTTGGACTCAAATAGTCGACAGGTTTTTGTATTGTGCAAACTCTTCAAAGGAAACAGGTGGAAGTAAAACGATTTCAGGTGAAAATTTACCTGCACACAGTCACTACGTAGATTTAAGTACATCTCAAGCAGGTTGGCATAAGCATAAATTTTGGGATTGGCACGCCTTGAAAAAAGGTAAAGGATATGATGTTAAAGACGACGTTCAGTTTGCTATAAATTGTTACTGGAGTGACACTCAGGGAGATGGAAACCATACACATCGCGTTACAGGATATACACAAACAACGGGACAAAGTAAAGACTACATGCCACCTTACATGACAGTTTACGCATGGTATAGAATTGCTTAGTCGTCATTTTCAACTTCTTTAGCATATTCGTCAGGAGTTGTCTTATATTTGTTAGGAACTGTCTTTGAAAGTATACCACCTTGAACTTTGACAAGTTTGAAACGAGGTCTGACAATAGTAGTTTTATCTTCTGCTTGCAGTGTGTACATTTTGCCATGTTTGCCTAAAACTTCATAATATTCTCTTGTATACTTTCTTCTATTTTTACGAACACGAACGTGAGTACCTGTCGAGTTCCCATTGTTGTCATAGTCAATAGTATTTTCATATGGGTCGCGTTTAGGTATTTCTATTTTTACTTTGTCACCTTTCTTAAGTTTGAAGCCTGGCATTCTTTCTTGTTTGTCTCTTTTGACTAAACTATTAAATATATAGTCTTTCTCTAAGTCGGGGTTGTTTTTCATTTCTTCGGGGGAGTGGTTTCCCAAACCTTTTTGTTTACGGGTATTGTAAATATTTAAAACTTGTCTCATCTTTGCCATGGAGAAGTGTCTATATTTGTCGTCATATGACATTTCATCTACCTCACCACCTTGTGGTTGGTTTAAGTCTCTTAAGATTTTTATACAACTGTCAATGACACCAAGAGCAGAATGGTTTTGGTCGACAATGAAATATTGGTTTACATTTTTTGAACGCAGATAGTTTTTTACATCATCTGATTTGAAAGAACTTTCACAGTCAGATGTCAGTTTTGTTGGATGGTATTTGTCAACGAATATTGTCAAAGCAGTTTTCACATCTAAAATATTTTTGGACCATAATGGTATGGCTTCACAGTATCTTGTGTTTTGACCGACAAATATTAGCCAGTATGGAGGTCCATCTTCTCTATACCTCGGAATGTTTTCCAAGATATCCATAAACCAAGCATTTGGTGTTGAACTAAAGATTTTTATCATGAGTGCTTTCTTTGTCGCTTTAGAAACATAGGGGTCCTTGTTTGAATTCGTCATTTTTAACCCATAAGAAATGGGTTTATTTGGCGCATTAGCAGGAGTTGCATCCAGATTTTTACCCGCAGTGGGAACAATAGCTAGAGGTGCATTTGGAATTGGAAGGAAGATTTTGAGTACATTAGGTATACTTAAAGAGAAAGCACAACCTATTATACAAACTGTACAGAAAGGTTGGGAGGTAGCACGAGATGCAGCAAATCTTATTCCAAATCCTGAAACAAGAGGAAAAGTTCAAGGATGGATGGACAATGTAGGAAGAGAAGCAGGAAACTACTATAACAAAGCAAATGACTACTATAACCAAGCAGGACACTATATGGACCAAGGTGAAAGATTCTTTAACAGAGGATATAACCATGCACAACAGTGGGTAAACAATAACCAACCGCAACCGCCTCAAACGTGGGGAATGTAAATTTTTTTACTGAGATGAAATGAACAATACAGCATTGAGACAAATGGGCTCAAGATGGATTTGTCGGCTTCCAGCAGTTACACAACCACGTGTTTGTCAAGTCCTCCCTATACCTCAGGAAGTTTTAGACCGACTTAAAAAACAACAACAACCAGTTGAAAACAAACCAAACTAAAATTTTTTACTGAGATGAAATGACCGAAGAAGTTGAAACGGTAGATTTGACACCACAAACAAAAAGTTCAGAACCATTGTCAAAACCTGTCAAAGAACTTACAGATGAAGAGAAAAATTCAATAATAGAAAGTGCCAGGTCTGGAAATACAAACCCTAACTACAAAGTCACTTTTCATAGAAATGGAACGGCTAGTATCTCAAAAAAGAAACAGACTCTCACAAATAAAATATTGAAGTCTGAAGGAGTTAAAGAGACAACAGATGGGAAGGTATACTTCACTGACCAACAGTTCATTATAGAACATCTCATTGACTTAGAGTCGAAATATTCTAAACTTTACAACAAACACAAAAAGTTGAAAGGAAAACAAAAACAAATGGCATATGATATTTATGAAGATGTTAACGACACAACCATACCTGCAAGTGAGGTAAAGTCAGAGGAACCGAAAAGTGACGAAAAACCGATAGAAGAAGAGAAACCAAAAACTGAAGATAAACCAAAACCAAAGTTTAGTCAACCTTCATTAGCTGGTATGGGTTGGCGTCAAAGACTTATGGCAGCCGGTGGTTACGTAAAGTAAAATAAAACATTTTTCAAAAAAAATATTTTTTTATTTTATTTGAAATGTACGCCGAGTTTGTTGGAGAAGACCGTTGGGAAACTTGTTTGTTAGATGAGAAATATGAAATTCACTGTTGTGAGTCATTTGAAGTCAGAAACAAAAAGACAAAAAGAGTTTTAAGCGGATGGGAGCAAAAATACGGATATGCTATTATGAAGATGGGTGGAAAACACTATTTTAAACATATTGTCATTGCAACTCATTTTATACCGAACCCTAACAATCTACCTCTTGTAGACCACATAAACCATATAAGAAACGACAATAGACTTGAGAACTTGCGTTGGGTCACATGTTCTGAAAACAATAAGAACATAGGCAAATTTCGAGATATTGTATTCGAATTTGTCGACGAACTAGAAGATGAAGCAATTGAAATTACAGACTATGGTAAGCATGCGTTTGAGTTTTACTACTACAGCGAAGAACAAGACTCTTTCTACTTTTATACCGGCGTAAACTATAGGAAATTACAAGTATGTTTTACTAAGGAAGGCTATGCTTATGTAAACACTAGAGATACAGATGGAAAACACGTTCAAATACTTCTTAACAAATTCAAGAAGCTATATGGCATACCATTTTAAAACAGTATTTTAAAACAGTATATTTTTACATATATTAAATGTTTCAGGTTGAAAAACAAAGAACAAAAGTAGCAGATACAAAACCGTTAGACTATATCTTTACAAACGCTGGTAGGACTATATCAGATGAAGAAATTTCATCCGGCTCCTACCGCTTTGACTTTCCAATTCGTTGGCTTCAAAGTCCTTCAGATGCAAAGGCAATAGGATTTAGAAGAGTTTTGTTTTCAAAAAGAACTAACGCGTTTATGTTTGCGGTATATTTTCATGGTCAGTATAGAGGTTCTGACGGTCTACTAGACAAATTTGACGAAATGAGAATCTTTACAGTTCGTTCAGACGAAAGTCTTGAGAAGACTCTAAATGACTTTCAAACTCAAATAAACAAATACTACTGGGAATTTCAAGAAAAATACGATTCTTTACTAAATGGAACATACTATCTGAAACTAGAATATGACAAGATGAACTCCACAGTTTCATTTCAAAGGATTGAAAATAACCCTCCAAGAGATACACAGTTTTTATTTTGGCAAGTAGACAAACGTTCTTGGGCACAATTTCTTCGGTTACTAAACCAGAACGAACCATTACCACCTGACGGTCCGTTCTGGTTTATACGCCCACCAACAGATTTGACAGTTTATAGAAACGTGTTTGACCCTCAAAATGTCATGTGTCATGCAAGTTTCAGTTCAAGCAACAACAGTTTTCTATGTATTGGTAAGGACTTTTATGACTTTGCTTCTAAATTCTACGAACCACCTAGTAACAGTTTCTCTGACTTTCAAGTCTGGTTCACAACAAACGGTGTGCAGCATATTGTTCCATTGTACTACGACTTTTATCTCGAATTGTCTTTCATATATAACTACGGAGAAGTGCTGAAAAAGTATTGAAAAATGAGTTTTGGTTGAAAAAATACGGTGGAGCCAAAAGTGGCTCGACCTCAAAACAAGCATTTTGTGAAGAATATAGCAACCGTCGGAAACAGCGGGTTGCTTTTTATACAAAATTCAACAGGTGAATTTTCATGAAATTCCTTAAGATAGAAAAAATAAAGTTAGTTTTTTTAAAAAAATATTTTTTATTTTGTATGTAAGAACAGATATGTTAAACATTGAGTTTGAAACAGTTAAAAAGATAGACAATGACACCAAAGTGGTTAGAATAGGGGATTTAAACGTAAGATACTCAAAGAAATACAACAAATATTCTTTGTCAGACATTTTAACACTATCTGAAAAGAAAACATCCCACGACTGGGTTAGAACTGCTTCTACTCAGAAAATTTTGACAAGAAATCCTGAGCTTATGATATCGGTAAGATTCTATGGAACAAGAACATATCTTATAGACAAAAGTCTTATACCAGTAGTTTTGTTCTGGATTGACCCAGTTGTTGGATATAACTTCATAACATATGGTTCATTCGATACGGAACGTTGCAGTGAGGGCTTACTTTACATCGTTCAGAAACCGAAGGACTTCAATACAAAGAGATATAAGATAGGAAGAACATATAATATAACTCAAAGATATGACAGTACAGTCAATAGAGTTAAGGTTGTGTTTGTTAACGATATGAGAGCTGCTGAAACAGAACTACTTGAAAAGTTTGAGAAGATGTATGGTGCTCCCACGAAAGGTAAAGAAACGTTTGAAGTAGATGAGATAGATAGTGCTATAAAATTATTTGACGAAGTTGCTGAAAAATACATGTAAAGCGTATATTTTTGGTCTTTTGTGAAAGTCAGAAAATAAAGTTAGTGTCATTTTTTTGTATTTGACGAGAATGTTTATGTTAGAATGTTAGATCTAACATGTTTTCTAACACGTTTTCTAACATGGTCTAAAACTCTTGAATTTTCATGAAATTTACACCAAAAATAATGTTTATGTTAGAATGTTAGATCTAACCTGTTTTCTAACCTCTTTTCTAACATCGTAGAAAACTCTCGAAAATCATGAGTTTTGACACTTTCACAAAAAACATAAAAAATAAAATTAGTTTTTAAAAAAATATTTTTTTATTTTTATTGTAAGAACATGTTAGCAACTACAGCACCAAACTCGCTAGTTATGAACCCAACTTCAATGTTAGTAGAGATGAAAAGCTTCATTCCTTCTTCATATACTTTCGAAACAGAAATCCAGAAGATAAAGCAAGAACTTCTCCAAGGAGATTTAGATTGCACTGCAAAAGATGAAACAGATGAAGAATATCTTTATGAAATGCAGGACATTATTGACCATTTACCCAAATTGCCTGAAATTCAGCAACAAAAACTCACTATTCCTGAATTTGACGAAATAGAAGTCGGACTGACTGACTCAGTAGAAATAAAGAAGTTCATACGTAAGGTTAACTATGAGTTTCTTGGATTTCATTGCAACCACAAAGTCATGGACAAAGATTGCGACATGGTATATAAGAACATCTCTGACATATACAAATCTGGGGAGTTTAAGACCTACGACAACTTTGTTTCGTTAGTTGCAAAATGTGTATGGCAGATAAGAGATAAAGATAGAAGAGGTAAGATATGGAATGAACAGATAAAACCCGCAACTTTTGAGTTAAAGAGAGCAATTGACGCCTTAGTCATACTTGCAGGTAAGGTTTCAGAATATAACGCAAAAATGAACCCACAATGTTCTAAATGTAAAGCAGCAATGAGGAAATATAACTACTCCGTCAAAGAGATAGAACGTATGCGAAACGACTATGCTGACTTAAAGAAAGAAGCAGAAAAGCCAGCAGAAAATAAAATGGACATGTTGACATTTCTGAACAAAAACTATCCAACAGCTGACGATTTCCTTCTTTCAGATGTCAAGAAGAAATATAAAGAAACATTCGGCATAGTTAAAACTTTTGACATACTGATAGAAGAAATAGAAGCTACGAAATTGTTTAGAATTTCACGAATTCACAATGTTTACCATGTGAAACGGTTATAAAATAACTGGGGTAGAAAAGAGGGTAGAAAAGAGGGTATATCTAACATTCTAACATAAACATTATTTTTATTGAATTCCGTATGAAATTTCATGAGTTTTGTGTGTTTTAGACCATGTTAGAAAACATGTTAGAAAACATGTTAGATCTAACATTCTAACATAAACATTATTTTTGGGTCATTTACGCTCATTACGAAGAAGAAGTCTTGACAAAACATATACGATGAAATTTCATGAGTTTTGTATGTTTTAGACCATGTTAGAAAACATGTTAGAAAACATGTTAGATCTAACATTCTAACATAAACATTATTTTTGGGTCATTTACGCTCATTACGAAGAAGAAGTCTTGACAAAACATTTACGCTCATTACGAAGAAGAAGTCTTGACAAAACATTTACGATGAAATCATGAAAATTCAAGAGGTGACAAAACATTTACGATGAAATCATGAAAATTCAAGAGGTGACAAAACATTTACGAAGAAGTCTTGACAAAACATTTACGATGAAATCATGAAAATTCAAGAGGTGACAAAACATTTACGAAGAAGTCTTGACAAAACATTTACGATGAAATCATGAAAATTCAAGAGGTGACAAAACATTTACGAAGAAGTCTTGACAAAACATTTACGATGAAATTTCATGAATTTCCTTAAGATAGAAAAAATAAAGTTAGTTTTATTTTTTTTTATTTTTTTATTTTGTATGTAAAGACAGATATGTCAACAACCGAGAACACAACAACTGCTATCGTTCATGAAGCTATAAATGAAGAATATGAGTGGGTTCAGTTTAACAAACAACTCCGTCTCATTCGTTCGGTCAAAGATGACATGTACCAAATGCAAAGTATTTTGACAGCATGTTTTGCTCCAGATACTAAGAAACCACAAGACTGGTTTAGGAACCAAAGCACACAAGAACTTTTGAGCGAAGCACAGCGAGACATACTTTTTTCTGAAAACAGTGAAGAACAGCGACTACGAGAAAAATCTTACTCGCCAAAACTCTATGAAAACAGTGAAGAACAGCGAGTAAGTAAAAAACCCCAGTCGCCAAAACTCTATGAAAATCGTGAAAAATTGCCAAATGGTTTGAGAGGATATTATGTTCATAGACTTCTCGTAAATAATGTGGCACAATGGGCTTCAGCTCGCTATTCATGGTATGTTTGTAAACTTCTTGACGAACTTCATAGACAAGAACGCGAAGAGCTAGAGAACAAGCTTGAAGCAAAAGACAAAAACATACAGAAAAGAATACCACGTTCGGTACCAAAAGGAAAGGAAAAGAACTATAAGTATATGATTTATACTGAAGAGATGGAAAATGAAGAAGACAGAGATATGGTTATGTTGCATTTAGTCAGAAGAAACAACAAAAGCTTTTACGACCTTGCTAAGATTTACAAATCTGACAGAAATTGGTTCTATCGCGAAAACTTACCGATTTCAATGACACCGAATGAAGATGTTAAAAAGATAGTTCAAGATACGTTACCTCAAACACACTATGATATGAAAGGTTGTACAATACTTACCTTCAAAGAAGATTTGCCATTGTTAAAGGAAAAAATAACAGAGTATTTTGACAACTTCAAACAAGTAGAGTAGATGAACCATTTATTTTTACGCTTGACACCAAAGATGGCTCAGGTAGCTCTATAAGGTAAATTGTCTTGTCAAATCCTTCTGGCATTCCGAGTCCTTCCTTCCAACATTCCAAGTCCTTCCTTCCGACATTCCAAGTTCTTCCTTCCGACATTCCAAGTTCTTCCTTCCGACATTCCAAGTCCTTCCTTCCGACATTCCAAGTTCTTCCTTCCGACATTCCAAGTTCTTCCTTCCGACATTCCAAGTTCTTCCCGACAACTGGAAAAAAATTTCCCGACAACTGGAAAAAAATTTCCTGACAACTGGAAAAAAATTTCCTGTTGTTCGTCCGTAAACCATTCAAATTTTCGAAAATTGAGAACTTTTTGGTCGAACGACAGAAAAAATTTTTCCTTCAGACAGGAAAAAAATTTCCCGACAACTGGAAAAAAATTTCCCGACAACTGGAAAAGTTCTTCCTTCCGACAGGACACAAACGGATGACTGACGTACCACCAACCGAGTCCATTCCAAAGCCAGAAGAACCGACAGCCCCAGCACCACAACAGACTAAGACTCAACACTTACATTTTTCAAGCTTGACTTTTTACAATTTGAACTTTGTTCGCGTAGATGTGAATTCTGAAAGAAGTATGAGGGTCTTGTATGACTTTGTACTTCTCCCAGAGTTCATGTCTGTCAAACTTACCTGCCATGGACTCTTTCATAAGTTCCATGAAATCGTCTTCGGACAATCCAGGGAAAAGTATGATATCAGTAAGTATTCTTTTAACATCCTTACTTAAACTCTTGGCTGTCTGTACACAAATGACAACTGAAATGTTAAAGTGTCTGAGCTTCTTAAGAATTCGACACATGTCTTGTTCTCTATTCTTTAACAAAGGATGAGAAGCAAAGTCATCTAAGATAAGAAGACATCTGTGAGGGTATGTCTTCCAATCGTAAGATTGCAATTTCTTCGAAATGTATTCTATCTCTTTCTGTTTGTTTCTGAAGTGTTTCTTCTCTAATATTCTCTGCATTTCCTCATTTGGGTCTTTAAACTTCGAATTGACATACTCATTTATAGCATTGTACTTCAAAACTCTTCTTTGGTACTTCTTTATCCAATCTAACAACTCAGAGTCTTTTATACATACTAACTTAGACTTCTTTATAATATCTTTGAACGAATTGACGGTTTGGTCAAATTGACCAGAAGTACTACAAATGACTACTAACTCATAGAATGGGTTCTTCTCATCTAGTTCTTGTTGTTGTGCAGCCATTTTAAGATAAGTGAAAGTCTTACCCGACCCAGGTGGTGCAATTAGACCTGTTATACCATTCTGAGCAAATAAGAACTTGTCATGTATGGGTTTTATCTGAGCATTTTCCAACTTCCTCTTGTTCTTATTTAAAACATTCTCAAATTTCTTGTCAATGTCAGCAAACTTTTTTTCTAACATATTTTTAGAAAAATTAAAATTTTTATCTTTTTGAAAATGTCTAGCGATTTCGCTATCTATATTCGAGACAAACTTTTCGACAGCAAAACATCTGTCGACCATAAAATCTTACATAGTGTAAACAAGAAAGGTGAATTTGTTCTAAAGTTCTGTTTCTGGGAATATGACAAGAACCATAAAACATTAGGCAGAGAAGTCTTAAAATTTGTCAATGACAGACTTGTTGACAGAGATGACGCCGATTGGAAAGATGAAGTCCAACAAAAGTTCTTAGAATGCAAAGAAGACACATGCGCTGTTCTTGAAGATGAAATAGGAAACAGAATAGAAGAGCTATTAAAGGACAAAGAACTTTTACATAAATATGGTTCTGAGAAGTTTGACATAACTCCACCAGAGAAGAAGAAGAAGAAGAGAGAAAAGAAAGAAAAGAAAGTAGAAGAAGAGAAAAAAGAACCAGAGCCAATTCCAGAGAAGGTGAGATATGACATGTAAAAATAAAATTTTTATTTTTTAGAACATTTCTGGGTCAATGTCAATGTTCTCTTCCTCTTTAGGAGCAAACACTGGCTTAGACTCTAAAATCTTTTTACCCAATTTACCTTGAACTTCAACTATCTTAGACTCATAATATTCATAGTCGTCTGCTTTCTTTGGTTCATAAGGTATAACAAGTTTGTATGCTTTGCCTTTAAGGTTTGAAACCTTCTGTCAAAATTTTCTTTGACTGCTAACAAACCTTCTATGTCTAAGTCTTCAAATTTCCGCACCATTTTTTAGTCACAATAGCAAAACTTAACTGGTTCGATGTTCCAAACTTTGTCAAATGTAGACTTTTCAAAATGGTAGAAGTAAACATTCAAATATATGAATGGGTTAGTTTTCTTTGACTTCTGTCATGTACTTGTTGACTGAAATATATTTCGTCATCTTTTCTATCGGATAAAAAAATATTTTTTTTAAATTTACTCAGAAAAATTATTTCTTTCTATATTTGCCATTCCGAACTTCGAAAAGATGTTTTATACCAGCATAGAATTTTTCTCTAGAGCTTAGTCTTATATCGTTTTCATGACAATATTTTCTATATTCTTCATATAAAGCCTTTTTTTCATACCTTTCATAAGGACAATCTAACCAGAATAGCGCATATCTATTTTCGTTATCTAGGTCTTTTCCAACAAACTCAGCGTACATTTCAAATAAAATAAAAAAATATTTTTTAAAAATTTACTCAGAAAAATTTTTCTTTGTATATACGCCGTTCTGAACATCTAAAAGATTTTTGACATTTGCCAAGAATGTTCGTTTAGAAGCTGCCATATAACCATACTCTTGACAATATTGTTTATATTCATCATATAAAGACCTTTCATCTAAACACTCAAAGTCGTTTTCATCTATAAACAGTTCATAAACACTCTTGTTTGCTTCTAACAATGTTTGTCTCTCTTCGGTATATGGAATTTGTCTTGGATTGAACTTAGAAATATCTAATGTCATGAAATATGAGAACAAGTGGTTGTAAAAGTCAGATGTCAAAGTTTCTGCTAAGTCGTCAAAATATTCTGTATCTTGCATATGAGAATCTGACGTTCTGACAACTACATATCTTCTGTCAGAACTTTCTAACTTCATCGGAACAGCATTGTTTGAAACCATAATGAAGTTTGCAACATTTTCACAAACTCTTTGGTCATTATTTATTTTCTTTCAACAAACTCCAACTTTGTCTGTTATAAGACTCTCCAAAGCATCTGAGTTTAAAACTTTTGTTGTATCTATACTTTGAAGTTCGTTACATACTATAAGTTTCATATTCTCTATTGAAGAGTTAAATTTACCGCAGATGTTTTCTAAGTTTGTCATATTAGGGTTCGAATAGCCCTCTAACAGTTTGCACAAAATATCTGTAAAGAATGTGTTCTTACCAGTTCCTTGTTTTCCAATTATAATGAGAGCAGTTTCATTTTTAGCACTTGGATGTTGTAAGATGTTTGCAAACCAACATAAGATATACTCATAGACTCTTTCGTTTCCATTGCATATAATTTCTTTGACATGGTCTAACCAAGCTTCTATAATATTTTCTTTCCATTCTACTTGTTCGTATTTATATCCAGTGAAGATAGAATAGAAGTTTGGAGAAGGTGTATAAAACTTTATACCACGAACTGAAAAATCTTCTAACTTTGACAATAATATATCCCAAGCATCTAACATCTTCATTCCAACTTGTATAACTTTTATTTTCTTAAGTTTCTGTCTACATTCTTGTTCTGAAACTATTGTCGCTCTTGGTTTGTTAAAGACAACATCCCATTCTTTCATGACATAACATTCTGGGGCAGAGTCAACATAAATGACTAAACGTTTCAAATTCTCGACTGCTTTGTTATAGTCTCTAAATGGACACATATTTCTGAATGCTTGGAAGTCATAAAAATCTGAAACATCTATTCTGTACATTTTTATAAAAATAAAAAAAATATTATTTTTTTATTCTTGACTTTGTTGTTGCATTTGTTGCATTTGTTGTTCTTGAGCTATTTGTTGTTGAAGTTGTTCTTGTAGTACAATACTTTCACCAGTTGCATCTTCCAATTCGAAACTTTCTGCCGTCATTGACAAATACATAGGACATAAAAGTTTTACAGGAACAAAGTTTGCGTCAACTAAGGTTAAGTTTATGTTTGCTAAAGTGTTTGAGTTTACTAAGGTTGAAAATTCTGCATTCGAATGAACAATAGGCAAACCAGCAGAGAAAGTGTTGTTTATACGCATGAGTATCTTTTGGTCATAGTAGTTTCTGTCGATATTCGAATAACACTTTGAACCTAAGTTTGAAACAATATATAAAATAGGTGTACTTAAAGTCAATGGAATAGACATTCCTTGTATGACACCTTTTCCTGTTATAGGAAACTGTTGGTAGTAAAAACCAGATATAAGTTTTGTATTATAGCTCATATCGTTTATACTAAACTCAGTCGGACATCCAAACATAATGAAACCTGCTCTAGTTGCAGCACATGTTACATCCGTCCTTAAAGTATTAAATAAGTCAACAAAACCTGTTGGTGGTATATCTGAGTAAGTATCTTCAAAGAAGTATTTTTTACCATTCACAACAACAAAGTCTTCTGGTGTCAAAAGAGCAAAAACAGGCTTTAGTCGTCATCGTGTTTAAGGTCAGTTTACAATATCGTCCTTGAGGACTTTGTAAGTTTGTTGTTATAGAATTATATGACTCAGGGTTTTTAGTCGTAATAGTATAAACCACTATGTCTTCTGCCATTTACTTAGCAACTAAATTTTAATGAAATGTTGTGGTCGTCAAATATTTTTATGACGTCTGGGAAACTATACTTTAAGTTCAACGTTTTCACCTCCTTTCATAACGTATATCTTGTCAATGACATTATATGAAACACCACAGCAACTAACGTCGGGTTCTATTTCTTTGATTTATATTCGTCTGCCTCTGTCAAAAGTTTCAATAGTTCTTTCAAAACTTCATGAGGTGCAATGACATATGAGTTCACTTTTACAGGGTTGTGTTCGACCAAGTTTAACATTATACCTAAAGCTTGACAAATCTTCTCCTGAGTTTTAAGTTTGTCTTTAAGTTGTTGGTAGTCGTTTCGAATATCTGCAACAGAACTTAACTCTCTGCTAACTTCAGGGTATGTTGGTTGTTCTTTTACAGGAACAATTGTTATACCATCTTGGTCTTCGTATGGTTTCCCCATTTCAACATCTCTTTCTTTGACATTGACAATAACACTTTGACTGTTTGTTTGAGTTGGTGAATTTAACTTCACATCTGCCACCGCCATTAAACCTTTTGAAACACTTACGCTTCTATTTTTCGGAAATGACATTTTACTTAGAATAAAAAGATGGACGTATTTGAGTATCTCTTCGAATTGAAGCAAAACAAAGTTTACACACACAAAACAATACAAGTTCATTGACAGAAATAGTTCTTTACACAAACAATGGAAAATGTTATAGAATAGCAGTCTTTGCTGAACCAAAATATTTTCATAAAGCAAAGAAAGTTGGTATAACCGAGATGGTGAAAGTTCTTGAAGCAGACAAAAAATATAACAACAAAACTGACACGATATTTCTAAAGGTAAGTTTATAATACAATATTATATCAAAACTGGCGTACTGTCAATATTTGACGGAGAGAAGTCAGTTCAAGAACAACTTACTGACCTGCTGCCAAAATCTGCTCGATGGAAGCTGTCGTTATGCCAATCTGAGGAGCCCCAGCAGGTTTCATCGAACGAATCTTCAAAGAGCATCTTCCGTGAAAAGTGCTATTGGTTTTGTAAACTTCTTTGCTCTCAATTCATCTGGACCGTCTCTGTCACCAGTATATTGTATTTGAACTGTACCAACAGTTGAAATACCACCCATAAAGTCTTCTGAGTCAGCAAATGGAATGCCAAGCCAAAAGTTTGAACGGTCTCCATTTGTATATTGAGTTTTTGACCTCCTGTATGAGTCCATACTTTCACATATGGCATAATAGAACTTTGCATTTCAGGGTTAATGGTTGTTGTGAAGTTGTTGTTAAAGTTCATAGCATCTAATGTCAAGTTGTATGACCTCATATCCTCAACTGTAGAATATTCTTCTCTTGGATAATATTTGCCATCTATGTTTATATGATATTTAATACCAGGGTTGTAGAAACAAGAATAGTCATTTATAGTTCGTCTGAACAGTACAAACATAGTATCTGCATGTTTCATTGCAGTTGTTAAGGCAATATCTGTTCTTGCACCTGGGTCAGCACTTTGGTTTCCAACTTCACCTGCAAAGTCTTTGACAGATATTTGGTGTATAGGGAACATAAGTGGAACTGCAATATATTTGGCAGCTAAAGCATTTGAAATATCTGGGTCCAACATATAGACTGCAAGTCTGCTTTCTATTCTCTTGCATTCAAACTTTTCGCATGTGAACTTAACTGGGTCCCAAGCAGTTCCAGCAGCATTGAAATAATAGTTTACTTCAGTGTTGAAGTTTGAGAAACCAAAGTCTAAGTCAACTTTGTCTTTGCAAAATTCGGCGAATGACGTTTGATTTGCTCCCTTTACGTCTGTAAGAGTGAATGGGTCTTGTGTTGGTGCAATGACTAAGTTATTTTTGCTTGGAGTAAGTTCGATAGAAATTTTTCCTGCCCAGTTTGGCAAGTATCTTAAAAACCTGAAGATGAGGAAAGATGACAAAGGAACTCTAAGTTTCAGTTTTACTTTGGTTACTGCTGCTGCAGTTTGTCCAGAAAGGTTAACATAAACTCCTGGAACGTTAGGGTCAAGTCTTCTATTTTTCTCAATAGTTGCATACTGGTCTGTTTGTTCTCTAGCTTGTGGTTGTACTGAGTTTCTCAAAGCGAACCATTCATAGTTTGCCCATGTTACTGTTTGAACTAAGTCAGAGTTAGAATATATCTTATATCCCATGAAAACTTCTGGAGCATATTGGTATCCGACATAGAAAATTCCATTGCAACCTTTCTTGTCAGACAACTTGGCAGAAGGTTTTATTTCAATGTCTTGTTCCACGTATAAGAAAGAGTTGTCAATAGAAATAATATGAAACCTGTCGCAAGCAATATCTACTGTTGTTTGAAGAACCTTCTCCAAACTCACCTACGTTTCCATAAGAAACAGCAGTTGTATATTCGTAAGTTCCAGGAAACTATTTCTGACCTTCTAATGGCATTGTCGCATTCGTTATACCATTCGGAAACATTTCCATTCATGGCATCCAAAACTGTTGGCGTTATATTCTGAGCGGCGTACATTTCATATGAGTAAAAATATAGAATAGTTGGATTTATATGTCATAATAGAACCCACTGGACCAAGCTTTACTTTCTTCCTGACTGAGTTTTTAACTCTTCTTTTTCCTTCATTGCCCTCGCTTGAAGTTGTTGCATCTTTGCATTATGTTCATCTAGTATGTTGCAAATTTCCCATGTCCTTTTTGCCTTTTGGCTCTGGTCGCCCATCTCAGGTAACCTATATCCTAGAAAGAGTTTGTCATAGTCTGTATTTGAGTCTTTGCGTATTGTTTGCATGACTCTTTCCTGAGTTCTGGTTCAAGCTCTTCAAACAGAGCTTGTCCATATGGAATAAGCTCGTTTCCAAATATATGTTTTTGTAGCCTTCTGGTTTTCTTTCCATGTTACCAATAATATCTTTTGTGAATGGGAAAGCTTTTACCCAATCTTTCAGTCTTGCGTCGTTTATTTCTGTAGTTGGTTTTATTTTGTCAAGGAACATGTTTTTCAATACTAACATTTCATTTGGTACTGTCCATTTGAGTTTTCTTAAATATTCATCCCTTCTCAGTTCATCGTCTGCAAAGTAAGTTTTTATGACATTTTGTAAACTTTCATTTGCAAGGTCATGTACAATAGGTTCTCTTCCTTCTCTGTCCATAACTTTCTTTCTAAACTCTTCACCAAATATACCATCTCTATGGTTCTGTGTAGTTCTTTAAGATAAATGTTCTAGAACGTCAGGTGTTATATTTCCATCAGCCATGTTCATTTCATACTGGTCCAAAATATCTGCATCTTTCATATCTTTCAATGGCATTAAAGCCGCGCTTAAAATACCAGCTATATCTCGTTCACCATTGACTTCCATTGCGTCTACAACTTCTTGGAA